ATACTTTCTGTTCGTTCTCTGCTGAGCATTCGCTTGCTTTCATTGTTTGAATGGTGGTAGCAATGAGGCTGGACCTTACCGTGGTGCGATGGTTTGTGTGCCTCAGTGATCCATTGAGCTATGCTGGGTGGTGCATTTTTGCACCTTCAGCGCCACTCATACCAGATTGGTCAATGGTTAGAGGCCAGACAAACTCAGCCTCCTGGTCCTCCAGGTTGGGGATTGGAATGAGGGTGGCTCCTTATTCCTTAAAACGGACTTCTTGTAGTCCACTGCCAAACCCGCTGCCTTGCGGTCAGGTTTTTGAACCAAAGGCTTTGATTGAGAACCCTAATCGTTCTCCTGTCTAGGCCTAGGCAACCTGACAGTATCCTGCCCACGCAATACTGCGGCACAGTAGCTGAGATGTTTCCCACCTCTAGCTAACGTGCATGGTGATGATGATGATGAGAAAGACTCACATTGAAGTGTACCTGATAGTGAGTTGATACAGAGCAATACTGACCGGGAGGACGCTAGGCGATAAGTGCCATAAGTAAGCTGTTCCGCCAATACCGTTTTATTCTCATGCGATAGCCCGTTAATTTTGCCCACGACTTGGGTAGACGCTTTTGCTCCGAGTCTGTGCTTATGATATTGACCTTTTATACCATAATTTGTTTTCCTCTTCATCGTTTTTATTTGTTAGTATAGTCTTTGTTTGTTTGTTGTTGTTGTTTACGGTTTTGTCCACTTCTGACTCTTGCTTATTCACCTGACTCTGGCAGCTTGTGCTCTACTTAATACCGATGTAGCGTTGTATCTATCTTTCCCGCGAGTGGATGAGATTGTGAGAAACCACACCAATACTCCATACTGTAATTGGAGAGCTGGTTGAAATACATCTATGTTGCTCCATCGATATAGTGTCGGGCACACACGAGGAATAACGTTATTGGCTATCCAGGATTGCCAGTATAGTTCATTTATGCAACATCCTATTCGAATGCGTTGTGTTCTCGAACCTTGTAATGCGCAAGGTGGGCTTCTGGGAATTCTTTGAATTCTGATTTTCCGATTTCTTTTTGAATATTGTTACGAGTAAACGGATCTAAGATTTCACCACCCTCGAAGCTTATTAGCTGAGCTATCCGCTTCAGGTCCGGTACTACAAGTTCGTAACGATGCCCGCGAGGGCAATTTGGTGCGCGCTCGCACAGAAACTGCTTCAGCATATGGACGTTACCGAGACGGTGCGTCGTTATGAGGTCAGTTCGAAACCGACGATACTACAGAAAGCATAGTCGCAGTCTCCTGCATCGGTCATCGTACGACATACCCCCCATAAACTGGGGAACAGCCTGATAGCCACATACTGAACACATTCCAGTCTCTGCACCTCGTCACTGGTGTTCGGACAATAGGCGATTGAGCTATACTCTCGAGCATTGGTCTTATGATGGAAGAGGAGAGGTGATTAGCGATTTATTCGGACTAAGTTCAGAAGCGTCTAGGCACCCAGCAATGTGCTGTCCGTTTCCGTATAACCTGTTCGTATTCTCCATTACTTTAGCTCGCAGCACGCCTAGCTTATTCACGGAAGTGTGAGATGCGATCTTTGGCTAGTCCATCATCACCTCCAGGCTCATGGCTGACGCTTTGACTGAGCCGATCAACAGATCGGCCTCTGCAGATCACAGAGATAGGCGATCATTACCATGCTGAAGCAATTCACATTCGTGGGAGCATTAATTACTCTCTATATTTTCAGGTTGTCTACAATTAAGGCACAAGACCCGTAGTCAGATGGATCACAAGCTTGCCTAGTAGTCCGAGGGCGCGGGTTCGAGCCTGCATAGGGAACCGGGTGATCCTCACAGTATCCTAAGCCCATGCGCCACTGCTGGTGGTTGCGTGGCAGCAAAACGTCGGCACTGTGTACTTGCGTACTGCTGGGGTCCTCTTCTTCTACAAGACGACCGAATAAGCTGATGCGGATCAGGAACAAAATATGTCCCAGTATTGTACCTTGGGAATACGCTAGTGATAGAAGGATACTTGTCAGTTAGACTTGTGCCCTCTAATTTTGCCCAATAATGAAGTCGCAGATCCACTGGTGCATTTAGCCAACAATGCTACGCATCCTTAGGCTGTAGATATGTACTTTATAAATCACCTTACGGAATACTTTACTGAAGTCAATTTCAATCTTGTCGACTGATTTATCCCGGTTCATTGCTCGCAAACATGCATGCCACGCCAGAAGCATGTTGGTGATGCATGAACGGCTTTTTATGAAACTGTGCTGTTCGCGCATCAAATGGTTTTCTGATTCCAGCAGACTGCTTCATGGAGGTCAAACAAATTGGCTGGTAATGATTCACTCCGCTTGGGTCGTCGCTCTTCTGCATCGACTTCACTACCGAGCATTTTCAGTCGCTCAGCAATGCACCTTGCGATAGCGATCTGTTTAACTGATCAGCCACAAAAAGTGAGATGACTTCTGATATGGACTTGAGTATCATTGGGTGGTGTCCGGCAGAGTTCGCGTCGTACGGACTGGCAAATGGCTTGCATACATCTTCCATACCGCAATCCACGATGTAGAGGCTGCATCCGTCGAACTCTATTGAGACGCACAGCCATTTACGCACACGGAAGCGAGGTGTGCCACCGATGTGGAGGCAAGTTGTCCATCAGAGTCCAACATTGCTACATCATACGCAAGCATCAAGCGCCTTCCCACTTAAGCATTGATTCTCTTGTGGGCCACCACTGCGGTTATAACCTGCTGCTTGTGTTTGCGGGTGGGATCAGTTCCTTCTCTGGTAATTGTAATGTTCTCACAAGCTACATAGCACAGCCTAGTCCGGAAAAGCACCAGACGCGTTTCGTCCTATTGGGGCTCTTTAGTGGTGCGCATTCCTTCGGTTTCCTACTGGGGATCGTACTCATGATCGCTAGAAACAGCTGCCAAATAGCCATCAGCTATAGTCACTGAGCCATGGGGGACGTCGGCTGGGCTACACAAGTTGCAAGCTAACTAGAATATAGCACGACCCATCTTCCACTGCCACGCAGGTAAATGACACGCAGCAGACCTATCAGCCACTTCTTTTGACTTTTCAATTGTGATAGCCTGCGTGTTTAACTATACACTAAGGTGTTTATTGCCAATTTCCGATGCGCAAGCGGTTCGGGACGCCATACACACATTTCTTCTTGCTTCTCTGTGAATGAGGACCGATGTCACGCAGCGTGCTATTGGCTGCTTTCTTTGCAAACGCTGCTACGCATAGCCCATCTTTGCTGACATTATCAATACGTCGGACTCTCCAGCGGGTCTATATTCATCCGCTCTGTGCACTGATGGAATTCTTTGCTCTTGTTATGGGGACGCAACGTCCCCACATTGATCATAAGCTTAAACCACGGAAGGCAATGAGACTCGATTCAGACAAGTGCACATGTTTCGTTCAGCCTTCCAACTCTCGAGACATTCGTTTTTCCATTGGCCTTTGTACCCCAGAGACCATTCCTGTCTCTGCCCAACCTCCCTTCAATCATAAAACATTCATACTTTTTTACTTAAGAAACTTTCAGTTTTCCAGTCCAGCACCAATTTGACCAGGAGCTGCCTGGCTTGTGGCGGACAATAGCAAACCATTGAGCACCAGGAGGTGCCCTCCCACCGTCAGAGACAATGCGTGGCGCTCATGCTCTACGCCAATTGAACGGTGAGCTTATAACCCGTAGACCTGTTGTCTCCCATGGCTAGGTTTTACGGGAAGAGGGCCATCGACCACTTCCTAACCTCCGAAGAGGATGGACTAGGATACCGGCAGGGCGCCCACACGTAACAGGAGGACGACGCGGGTCCTCAGCCAAGACGTTCGAATAAACGTACACCCGAAATGCACTGGGTCTAGCGCATAGTCCGTTCACTGACTCATGCAGATTTGTGTCCTGTCTATTAGCAGGGAGAAGGGCGTAACCCAACTCCCACCCAGCGGTCGCCACGAGGCGTCCATGTGTTAATGGGGACCCAATGTCCTCATAATTATCTCAAGCTTAAACCACGGAAGGCAATGAGACACGATTTAGACAAGTGCGTGTTTCGATCGGCCTTCCAACTCGTGAGATATTCACGTTTCGATTGGCCTTTGTAACTCAGAAAACAATCCTGTTTCCGGCCAACCTCCCTTCAGTCATAAAACATTCAGCTTTTCTTTACCTAAGATACGTTCAGTTTTCCAGTTCATCCTCGAAATCTACCAACATTCACTTTTCAACTTATTCCGTTGGCATATTTGCATAGTACCAATTCAATTGCTTCTAGGATTTGCTTACGCAAATCAGTGACGCCATAGTTGTATAAAAGAAACGCTGGACTGGGCTGTAATCGTCTCGAACCTGGTCGGTCAAAGTGCCTACACGAATGTCCTGTCTTTTTGTCTTGTTCTTTGGGGTTTTGGTAGCTGCGTGTGAAATTTCGTTCGGTCTAGGAGCCCGTTCAACTCACGCATAGTAACCGTGTTGCGTCTGTCTCACGGATCGTACAACCGAATTTTGTCGGTTACTTTGTCGTGCGTGAAATACTTCTAAGTCTAGGAGAGTTGCTATTACACCATCAGAGCGTGGCGTAACAGCTCTTCACAAATGCATGATCATTCTCCTGTGTTTGGGCGGCGCGCGCACCACTTGTCGGATATGCACGTCAGGGTAACACTTTTTGCAGCATATTTTAATTTTATGTAAAAAGGTGAGTTAATAAACTTGCAACTTCTCATGTCTCGTTCCGTTCGTATCAAAACACATGCAATCTTTCGCTGACCGACCGCTGGGGAACTACATTCGATACCTATGTTACTTACACAATGGTTTCTTTTTTAAACCAAAACGCTACTCGAAGTTGAGCTTTCTGAGTCTGCGATTTCGTCGCCTCATTTCACTACAACCACTGGATTTCTCCCGTCCTTTACGTTCTCATCCAATTTTTCGCAACTTCTTTCTTTAAACAGGCGGAATCAATCGCCTCTCAAATGATAAGCGAGGAAAGGTTGACTGGCCAAATCGATCAAATTGACAGTGTAATTCATTTCAAAGGTGCGTTTAAGATGGTGTCTTTTTCATTTTCTAATCTGCCATAATTTGACCTTCTATCTTCTGTCACGGACGCCAGTAATTTGTCACACGTGGTGGCCTTTGATCAACTACCAACAAGTTTCCAGTTTCCAAGTCTGTTCAGCTGTCCCTCTGTACTGCTGGTGTACTGCTGTCCCTCTGTAGGCGTGGTTCTCCTTCACCATCCACTCTCTATCCAGAATTTTCAGTATCTCTTCCCGTTCGCATTTGTGCGAGTAACATTGTCTTCAATAAATCTCGTCACATTTACAATTAGACAGAAGTACCAAACCGATTGGCCAATAAAGTCTAAGACTAAATCGGAAGGACTGCGAAATCTTTACAACCCACTGTCTTAGCATGGTACGTCATCGATCACTTTCTTAATCTGTCAAACTAGACCGTTCGGAATGAACGCTCTGGTACGTGGGTGAGGGCAGACAAATCAACGGTGACGAACGTTGGTCCCCTTTCGTGTTTAAGATGAACGTGTCTCGCCAAAGCATGTTCATGGTCAAGGTACGGCCAACGCTCTTGCACCAGCGTCCCTTTTTTGCATAATAATAATAACAGTAATAATAACAATAATGATAATAGGTATATTGCTCATCGAGTGTGAAGCTGCGTCCACACTTGGCACATATCATGTATGACAGGTAATGTCATACTCTTGCGTGGGCAATATAAAGTATTGTTATTATATTTGTCTGCGTTTTAGATAAGGTATACGTTTCATATGTTTATGTTCTATGTGAAGGTAGAAGGCGCTTTTGTAGTCTGAGTATATTGCAAAAACTGGGGGCTGATTACATTGTGTACAGTTGTGGTATTTCGCCCTCATTAAATAGCTCGTAAAGTGATCTTCCCCACCAACAAACGACAGTAGTGTCCAGGTCGAGTTAGCTTCCCAGCTTACTGCGAAATGATTACACAGTCTCACACGACTTAATTGTGATTGTGAGCTGATTCCACAAAGCAGCATATCTGATTAGAAAGAAATTAAAGGGCAAATTTGTCCTGCATCGTGGCATAACCAACGCAAAGTCTTCGTTACGAATGTCTCGCGTTTAACTGTGTTTCAATATTAATGTGGGTATTAAATATCCTGGAACATATTTGGAACCGATCGGGAAGTCATGATTTCAGAAAACTTTGTAGACGACCGGTTAATGTATTTATTGTCACCATAAATACATTAACCGGTCGTCTACAAAGTTTTCTGAAATCAATGACTTCCCGATCGGTTCCAAATATGTTCCAGGATATTTAATACCCACATTAGTATTGAAACACAGTTAAACGCGAGACATTCGTAACGAAGACTTTGCGTTGGTTATGCCACGATGCAGGACAAATTTTCTGTTTAATTTCTTTTTAATCAGATATGCTGCTCTTTGGAATAGGCTAAATCACAAGCAGGTCGTGTGAGACTGTGCAATAATTTCGCAGTAAATTGGGAAGCTAACTCGACATGGACACCATTGTCATTTGTTGATGGGGAAGATCACTTTACGAGGTATGTAATTAGGGCCAAATTAATGTCTGATGGATCAAATACCACAACTGTACACAAAGTAATCAGCCCGAAGTGTTTGCAACATATTCAGACTACAAAAGCGCCCTCTACCTTCACATAGAACATATGAAACGTGTACCTTATCTGAAACGCAGACAAATATAATAACAATACTTAATATTGCCCACGCAAGAGTATGACATTACCTGTCATATATGAAATGTGCCAAGTGTGAACGCAGCTTCGCACTCGATGAGTAATATACCTGTTATCATTATTGTTATTATTACTGTTATTATGGTTATTATTATGCAAAAAAGAGACGCTGGTGCAAGAGCGTTGGTAGTGCCTTGGCCATGAACATGCTTTGGTGAGACACGTTCATCGTAAACACGAAAGGCGACCAACGTTCGTCACCGATGATTGGTCCGCCTTCACCCACGTGCCTCAGTGTTCGTTCCGAACGGTCTAGTTTGACAGATTAAAAAATTGATCGATGACGTACCATACTAAGACAATGGTTTGTAAAGATTTCGCAGTCATTCCGAGTTAGTCTTAGACTTTATTGGCCAATCGGCTTGGTACTTTTGTCTAACTGTGAATGTCTGACGAGATTTATTGAAGACAATGTTCCTCCCACAAATGCGGAACGGGAAGATACTGAAAATCCTGGATAGAGAGTGGATGGTGAATGAGAACAATGCCTACAGAGGGACAGCAGTACATCGTCAAAGAGAGTGTGGAGGATGCACGCATTGGATGAACTTGGAAGCTGGAAAAATGATGGTAGTCGATCAAGGGCCACATGTGTGACAAATTACTGGCGTCCGTCATAGAAGATAGAAGGGCAAATTATGGCAGATTAGAAAATGGAAAATACGCCATCTTAAACTCACCTTTGAAATGAATTACACTGTCAATTTGATCGATTTGGCCAGTCAACCTTTCCTCGCTTATCATTTGAGAGGCGATTGATTCCGCCTGTTTAAAGAAAGAAGTTGAGAAAAATTGGACGAGAACGTAGACGACGGGAGAAATCCAGTTGTTGTAGTGAAACGAAGCAACGAAATCTCAGAATCGTTTTTGGTTTAAAAAAGAAACCATTGTGTAAGTAACGTAGGTATCGAATGTGGTTCACCAGCGGTCGGTCAGCGAAAGATTGCATGTGTCCTGACGCGAACGGAACAAGACATGAGAAGTTGTAAGTTTATTAAATCACCTTTTTAGATAAAATTAAAATACGTTGCAAAGTGTTTCCCTGACGTGCACATCCGACAAGTGGTACCCGCGCTGTCCAAACACAGAGGAGACTCGTCGTGCATTTTTGAAGAGCTGTTACGCCACGCTCTGACGGTGTGGCAGCAACTCTCCTAGTCAGCCGAACGGATGAGGCTTGGAAGTATTTCTCGCACGACAAAGTGACCGACAAAATTCGGTTGTACGATCAGTGAGACTTAGGCGCAACACAATTACTACGCGTGAGTTGAACGGGCTCCTAGACCGAACGAAATTTCACACGCAGCTACCAAAACCCCAGAGAACAAGACAAAAACACAGGACATTCGCGTAGGCACTTTTACCGACCAGACTCGAGACGATTGCAGATCAGTCCAGCGTTTCTTTTATACCTCTATGGCGTCACTGATTTACGTAAGCAAATCCTGGAAGCAACTGAATGGGTACTATACAAACATGGCAACGGAACAAGTTGAAAAGTGAACGTTGGTAGATGCCGAGGCTGAACTGGAAAACTGAACGTATCTTAGGTAAAGAAAAGCTGAATGTTTTATGACTGAAGGGAGGTTGGCCGGAAACAGGATTGTTTTCTGAGGTACAAAGGCTAATCGAAAAGTGAATGTCTCACGAGTTGGAAGGTTGATCAAAACATGTGCACTTCTCTGAATCGAGTCTCACTGCCATCCGTGGTTTAGGCTTATGATAATTATGAGGACGTTGGGTCCCCATTAACACATGGACGCCCCGTAGCGACCGCTGGGTGGGAGTCGGGTTACGCCTTTCGCCCTGCTAAGAGCCAGGACACAAATCTGCATGAGTCAGTGAACCGACTATGTGCTAGACCCATCGCATTTCGGGTGTACATTTATTCGAACGTTTTGGCTGAGGACCCGAGTCGTCCTCCTGTCCCGTGTGGGTGCCCTACCAGTATCCTAGTCCATCCTCTTCGGAGGTTAGGAAGTGGTCGATGGCCACCTTCCCGTAAAACCTAGCCATGGGAGACAACAGGTCTACGGGTTATAAGCTCGCCGTTCAAGTGGCGTAGACCATGAGCGCTACGTATTGTCTCTGACGGTGGGAGGGCACCTCTTGATGCTCAATGGTTTGCTATTGCCCGCCACAAGCCAGGCAGCTCCTGGTCAAATTGGTGCTGGACTGGAAAACTGAAATTTTCTTGGGTAAAAAAGTCTGAATGCTTTGTGATTGAAGGGATGTTGGGCGAGGTACAAAAGCCAATCGAAAAGTGAATGTCTCAAGAGTTGGAAGGCAGATCGAAACATGTGCACGTGTGTGAATCGAGTCTCATTGCCTTCCGTGGTTTGAGCTTATGATCAATGTAGGGACGTTGGGTCCCCGTAACAAGAGCAAAGAATTCCATCAGTGCACAGAGCGGACGAATATAGTTCCGATGGAGAGTCCGACGCATTGATAATGCCAGCAAAGATGGGTTATGCGTAGCAGCGTTTGCAAGGAAATCAGCCAATGTCACGCTGCGTGACATCGGTTCTCATTCACAGAGAAGCACGAGGCAATGTATGGCCTCCCGAACCTCTTGCACATCGGAAACCGGCAATAAACACCCTAGTGTATAGTTAAACACGCAGGCTACCACAATCGAAAAGTCAAAAGAAATGAATGATAGGTCTGCTGATCAAGGAAATAGTATTACCGCAGGCGTATCATTTAATAGTGTAGCCCAGCCGACGTCCTCCATTGCTCAGTGGCTAGAGCTGCTGGCTAGTTGGCAGCTGCCTCTAGCGATCATGGGTACGATCCCCAAGTGGGGACCAAAGGAATGCGCACCACTAACGAGCCCCAATAGGGCGAAACGTGTCTGGTGCTTTTCCGGACTAGGCTGTGCTATGTAGCTTGTGAGTAGTTGGGAGGAAAACATTACGACTACCAGAGAAGTCACTGATCTCACCCGAAAACACAAGCAGCAGTTTGCAACCCCAGTGATGGCCCACAAGAGAATCAAAGCTTAAGTGAAAAGGCACATGAGGCTTGCGTGTGATGTAGCAATGTTGGAGGACTCTGATGGACAACTTGCCTCCACATTGGTGGCACACCTCGCTTCCGTATGTGTAAATGGCCGTGCGTCTCAATAGAATGCAACGGATGCAGCCTCTACAGCTTGGATTGCGGTATGGAAGATGTATGCAAACCATTTACCAGTCCGTACGACGCGAACTCTGCCGGACACCACCCAATGATACTCAAGTCCCTATCA